CCCCCCCCGAGTGCACAAATTTTTGTGCACCGGGCCTCTAGTCCTATATAATAAAAGCCTAATATGCTAAGTGTCCGGTCGTCTGGTCGGCTGTTCAACCAATCAAAGTGTAATATGCTAATGATATGCTAAGGCCACTCAACGACTCGCTATGACGTGCACTAACCACCAGGGGGCAGACAGTTGACCAGCCAACTAGTTGCTATGATGTGCACTGACCAGCAGAGGACAGAGAGTCGATTGGTTGTCCAGTTGCTATGATATGCACTGACCACCAGGGGAAAGACACTACGACCGGTAGGTGAGCTTGCTGCTGGGGTTCAGCCCATCGGGTCTGAGCGAGATGGGCCAGATACGCCCTGGAGCCCTCCCGCGGTCCCGCCCGGGCTGGCCAACCTCCTGTGTCCCTCCTAGCCTCAATCATGCACCAGTGGTATCCCTCAGCCTGGGCTGCGCACTCTTGCAATCCTGGACACCTTGGGGGATGTTGGAGAGCTGGTTTCAGCCCAATCCTGCAGGCCAGGCAGAGGGACCCCACTGATGCACTTATTCGTGCACCGGACCTCTAGTTAATACATAAAGGTCTCAAAATCAGATCAGGATATGAGTTCATTTGCTCCTTGCTAATATTAAAAAAAAAAGGTTATTTTCCTGCTAAGTTGATGTAACCATCACCATCATCCAATAAATAGTACTCAGTCTACCTAATGTAGGTGAATCCTCAGAAAATTAATTTATTTTGGATATTATGTCCAATGGTGGGTACAATGAATGTTCTGGAGATTAAGTAATACCAAAAATAATTCATTTTCTACTCAAATTTAAATTCAAATATAAATGTAAAAGAGGGGAAATAGCTCATCACAATCACTATGAAGTATTTTATGCTTGAGCATTAAACCGAGTTTATTGAAAAAGAAAACATTTCTGTGGATGAAAGGAATTTTAGCATATTTATTGATAATAACGAACTAGATAAATTCTCAGATTTAAGATAACCTGGAAATACACTATAATCAAGATTATTTATTCCAACCTTATCTCTAAAAGAATTTTAGAGTTACATAAAGCTATTCACAATCCTATATAATAAAGAGGTAATATGCAAATTAACCCTCACACCCTCACAAGATGGCTGCCTACAACCAGGCCGGCAGGGGGGTTAATAAGGGACGACCAAACAACTGAACAAGCAGGCTGCATGGGGCGACCAGGCTGGCAGGGGGTTAGTGAGGGACAACCAAATGACTGAACAAGCAGGCTGCATGGGGCGACCAGGC